CCAACATGGCGACGCCCCATGCGTACCTAGAAATTCCCTCTATCCGAGGAATAAGCTCTAACAACTCTGAAGGTCGAACCTTGTTGCCACTCTTGTCCACGAATAACGTGGAACCAAATAGCAACAACATGTATCCCGTCAACTATGTATCAACATAACGACCAGCGGCACATCTCTCAATAATGGAATCTACGCGTATAACACTGCTTTTTCAATGCCCTTCATCAACGAGAGTATTTCGATCTACTCCAAGAAAAATCATGGCATCACTCTTTCAAATCAGTCGGGCTAGTCTGAGAACAAATCGAATCACCCTCAACTAGGATACGTAAGATCTCCCAAACATCATGAAGCATGATAGTCATCTCCCCCCATGGGAAATGAAAGGAGTTTGTGTCAGGCTGCCACCATTCGACAAATGCAGAAATTAGCGGTGTATCAAGGTGGCTAAACATACAACTAGAAAAATGAGATAATCCTATCATCTCCGCAGCCGTCAACATGTCCGATGTAAAACTCTTGGACCACGACTGAAGTGAAACACAAGCTCTGTCTCTGTTATGACACTTTAACATACTTCTCTTCTATCTAGCCCATATCCAAGCTGCAATATGTCCTCCAAAACTAGGGATAACACTCCCATTATGTGGGCCACCCGACACAAGTTCCTTAACTACCCACAAATCATCACCTCGGTTTTCTGTCTCTTATTAGGGCGTTGTGTACTAGTGGTGCTTTTTCTAGTATTGGAGCTACCCCTAAGCATCCCTATGAAATCCAAGCTCACCCCCGTAAGTAATAGCTCTAGGTGATGACGTAGGTGACCGTGTCGAGGTGTGCACACCCTCATCCTCTTCCTCATTCATCTCAGAAAGGCTGATTCTACCAGAATCATTCTCGTCATAATAAGAATGTGAATCCTCATCAGAATGATGATCACCCTCAACAATTGGATCTTTGCCCAATTTTTTAGCTTCCCTAGACCTCCCAATTGAAGCGTTCAAACCACGTTCAACTCAACAATAGGCGATTTTCCGGAGCCTTCCTATATTTTATATAACTAAAATAAATACATGAATTTTCTAAATATATTGTCCAGGCTTTTATTATTATTATTATTATTATTATTATTATTAGTATTATTATTATTATTATTATTATTATTATTATTATTATTATTATTATTATTATTATTATTATTATTATTATTATTATTATTATAAACACCTACAAAGTCAAACGATTTACAAGAAATTAGTGGGGAGCCGAGATACAATCTGGGCCCCCACCCCTCTAGATATAGCGAACCCAATCCTGTTAAAGATGTGAGCAGCCGCACGAGCACCAATATCATGAGTCCTAGCGAACGCCTGAACCTGCTTCAGCAATGCAACAACATCTTTCTCTAATTCCCCCAATGAAGAAAAGGAGAAAACCATAGCCAATAGCCCTGCAACGTGCCCCATACTTGTCTCACTTCCGCTGAGCTGCAGCCGCCATAACACGACCAGGAACGAAGTCAGACAACCCAGATTGAGTCAATGGAGAAGACCCCATCAAGTCAACACATACATCTAGGCCTCTATCCCAGGAGTAAAGCAACACATCTGCTGGCCGAAGAGCCCCGTCGTTCCCTCCAGTCAACCCAACGTTGACCTCCTTCCTTGCAGAAATCCCAGAGCGAAAACAAATATCAACAAGGGTATCACGAACAACGTTGTGCCGATGTTTAATACCCACCATCCCAGCACAAGACACTGCATGATCCCCATAAATATCCCCAGCAAAAACCCTTGAGCAAGCAGAACAAGGTGCCGAGACGGAGAACAAGGGAACACCCAACCGGTAGCAAAGAACACAACGGTAAGTCTTACCATTCATAATCTGACCAAGACCTGATATCGGGACCGCACGCAACCAGGCAGAAGTGTGATCACCCTGCTGGGACTTCCATAAGGCAACCTGACGCGGAGATAAGGAGAAAGTGGATTCTGCAAAAGCAGTGACCTTCGTGAAATATATATCTACCAATTTCTTCATGAGTTTGGGGGTAGCGATCTCACTAGGGTTACGCATAAGGTCAGTCTCCACAGTCCTATTAAAAAGACTAAGAGCGTTGTCGAAGCCCGGACCTGGACCAACAATACCAGAATTGCGAAGAAGCGAAGCCTGAAGACCAGAAGACTGCAAACGCGACGCAAGGAAAGCATAGTGTCGAACATCACCCGCTGAATAGACACCCAATCCTCCATAAGAAAAAGGTAAGGTGGCAAGTCGCCATTGCCAATCACCAAAACCTGGCCCCGAAGCAGTTACAATGAGCTCCACAAAACCTCGAAGGGCCACATCAAAAGAAATTTAGGCCGCTTCAAAAAGACGAGGAAGACAAGTGCGCATAGAAAAGTAGAGTTTTGAAACTCCAGTACACGCACGAAGAAGTAACAACTCACATTGGGGATCCTCAAGCTTAACAACAGCATCCATGAGCACAATGGTCTTCAACACTCTCTGCGAAACAAGCTCACCACAGAAAGAGGCATCCGCACTGACAGGACCCCCAAGCAGCTTAACACCATGAGCAGGACGAGCAATATCCGGAGGAAAGACACCGGCAAGACGGCTACAAGGGTCCTCCGAGGGCCAGAAAACTTCCGTTTTCTCAACGTTAACATGGAGGCCGAGATGAGGTCCCTCCACCAAAATCAACTCCATAACCTTTCCCTACCACCAAGGTGTCACCAATAATAGTGTCATCATCCAAATACCAAGCCTGCAAACATAAGTCGAAAGAATCCCATTATTATTATTGTTATTGTTATTGTTATTGTTATTGTTATTGTTATTGTTATTGTTATTGTTATTGTTATTGTTATTGTTATTATTATTATTATTATTATTATTATTATTATTATCTAACTAATAAATAAATTTTAAATTAAACTATAGTTAATATAAATAAATTACGACTACAACTAATAAACATGTTTAATCAAATGACATTAATGTGCGCATAATTATACAAAATTAAACCAAATTAAGGACACATATTAGATTTAAAATTATTAATTTAACTAATTATGAAAAATCAAATTAGATGCAAAACATTTATTTTGACTAATTGAATAATTTTGACTAATTATTTTTGAAATATTAAAAAAAAACAAATTTTAAAAATTTTCAAAAATAAATAAATATCGGTGGATATCTGTAGGAGATATCTCTACCATGGCAGGGACATCTCCGACATATGTCTTTACCAACAGAAGAACATTTACAGCTAATGTCCTCCACGTGGTGGAGACATCTGAAGGGGATGTCTCTACCGTGGTAGGGACATCTCCGAAAGATGTCTTCACCGTGGAAGGGACATCTCCGACAGATGTCTCCACCACGTTGAGGACATCTCCGACAGACGTTCGTAACCAACAAAAAAAACAAAAAGAAAAACTTATCGGCGCGGTGGCCGGCGTTTTTCCCCGTAGTTGCTTTCCTTGGTGAGGCATGACGGTGGTGGCGTCTATCTCGCGCTCGCCTTAGTTGACGGAGCCTCGCCAATGTTGCGTGGTGGGCTGCTATCGTTGTGAAAAGGATGTTGTCTTTTAGGCCCTGGTCGACGGAGCTTGGCCGGTGTTGAGTGGTGGGTTGCTGCCGTCGTGAAGAAGTTGTTGTCGTTTAGGTTGGTGTTGTGGGTGGTGGCAGCTTGGTGAACAGTGTGAAGGAGATGGTGGAGTATGAGGTAGATTGAATTAGGGGGAAGGGATTATTTGTAAGGGTATGTAGGTCATTTATAATGTCGTCCTAAGTATTTTCATTTCGCCGAATAGTAACTCTCTTATTATTTCAATGACTCAGCAAGGTCTTATACATACATTCCCTTTTTCTTTTTTTCTCCATTTCTCACTAGTCGTGATAAAGGGGACATGAAAATTTGATTAATTTACAAAAAATTAGCAACCATGCTTATTTAACTGAATTGTAGTTGTTAAAACTTTGTTTAAAGGAGAGTAATACCTGGTGTTATTTGGTTTCCATTGAAATAACATGCCCTTGATTCTCCAAAATGGCAGTATAAAATTTGCTAAAGTTTATCCTTGTATAGTTGGATCTAAATAGACAAGACAATTTCATCTGTTACTTTCTTTTAGTTTGATAGATTTGAATTTCAATTGAGCTTCTTAGACATGTAAGAAGACTTACCCACAACTATAGAGGATACTTTGGATCATGTATGTTTGTCCTAGTTTGCCTGTCCAAAATGAGCTTATTATAGCTCTCTTACATCAACTTTTTTGTTAGAACAATCATAAAACTGCAATTGATATTCAAATACAAGTTCACGTAGTTTTGTCCTTTCAAGTCTAGATGCTTTATTTGGATTAATGTCCATGTAATTATTTTTTCCTGTATACATGCTTTTCACCAAAATTCCCTCTAGTTTATGGTACACCTTGTATACAAAAAACAAAATAAATTAAAAAAATTTGTTTAATAATGTAACAATTTTATCTACCATTTTTTGTTATCAGCATAAAAAATATAGGTTATTTGAGAAACCTACCTTCCAATAAGTGATCCCACAGAAGAGGATGGTGTGTGGTTGAGGCCTTGGGAGTATGCTATCTAATGTTTCCGAGCATAGACAATGATCTATATAGTAATAGAAAATTATCATATTAACTAATATTCTGCCTAATTATATATCTGAACATATAAGTTTATAAACATATAGAAATCATAAGAAAAGCTTCAGAGTATATTTACAATGGTAATAAGAACAAAGCCACTTATCTCAAGGGACATCCTGCAATTTAAGGTAGAAAATCATACAGTACATCAGTCCTTGATAAAGATAATTACATATTATTTTACAAAAAAAGTCCATACATGCATGATTGGATATGCATATGTAAGGTGTATCGTAAGAAGGTTAGATGGGATTATTCATCTAATTTCTAATAATTTTTTTTATTTTTTTTGAAGGGAAGACCCGAATTCATTAATTAACCAATATCCATTTCCGCAAGCGTGATGATGCTTTCCGGAAATTGCTCAAAATTTACAATCTCATTTGCCTCCGGAGGGACAGTTCTAGCAAGGAAATGTGCAACTGTGTTTCCTCCCCTTTTAACATGGCTACAAATAAAAGAAGAAAAGCTACTACTTAAGCTGATGATACTAGAAATAAACAAGAACACATAATTATAGCCCAACTGTTTTTGTTGTATCTTCTGGACAACATTTAGAGCATCACTTTCGCACCACACATCTCTATACCCAAAACGAATGGCCAGCTCAACTCCGAAATGTATAGCAGCCGCTTCAGCAATGCAGGAATCCCACCTCCCTCGCCATCTCCTTGCCCCTGTAAACACAATATCACCATGGCTATTTCTAGCAACAACACCCAATCCCACTGCATCATCAAAAGTTGCTGCGTCCACATTGATTTTCAGAGTGCCTGCAGGTGGCTTCTTCCACGTACTATTTGATATCCCGCCATTTCCCCTCCTTCCTCCAAATACCTTTGCCGAGTATACCTGAAAATCGCTCACATACTTGGAAAAACCAGTGGCCAAAAGTATTGGGTCATGGGGTGAGTTCTCAAACAATGCTTTATTTCTACTGGTCCACATGGCCCATGCTAGTGCAGAGAAGGTGTAGACGTCATGGTGGCTGTAATGTTCAGTTACACGTTTGAAGACCTCAAAGCTCTCCTCGCCAATTTGCTGAACCTCCTCCCAGAAGCTGCTATTTTCCCACACTGAGCGCACTGTTGGGCACTTAAAAATGGCATGAGTTACCGTCTCAACATCTTCCCTACATCGTTGACAGTAGTTATCCTCAATAATGTGGCGCCTATGGAGTTCAGAATTTACTGCCATCGACTTCGAGCACGCTTTCCATATAAAATGTTTCATTTTTTGCGGGCCATTAATCTTCCAGATGTATCTCCAATTTTCAGCGCTTCCAGTATTATGCAACGTTCTCAGTCCAAGGATCCCGAGCCAATACGCTGACTTCACTGTATAAATCCCATCTGCCGTAAGTCTCCAAAAAGGGAGTCTGCATTTCCAGTGTGCAGAATAGGAATATTGCTAATTTTGTCCAAGTCAGCTTGTTGTATATGCAGTTGCATTTCCTGAATATTCCAGCGATTGTGCACGAAATCAATCAAGTCCTCCACCATTAAATTTTCATCATGCAGCCCGTTTGGTGGCGGAATAAGAGACATAGGTCCGTTTTCATCAAAAGCCCATTTGTCCTTCCAAACTTTGACACACCTTCCATTCCCTATCCTCCATTGCAGACCTTCCAGAAGTAGAGCTTTCGCCCCCCAAATACTCCTTCATCATTTGCAGTAGTCTCCACCCTTGTTTCGCTAGGAGGGCCTGGTTGAAAACCTTTAAATCTCGGAAACCCATTCCCCCCATTGCTTTTGGCCGACACAAAAAACTCCAACTCTTCCAATGCATTTTATTTTGAGTACCATTCCCCCACCAAAACCACCCTAGTATTGAATGAATCTCATCCAGTAGCCCATCGGGGATTTTAAAGATGCCCATTAGATATGTTGGAATTGCCTGTGCCGCTGCTTTGATAAGTACTTCTTTGCCCGGTCTTTAAAGGATTTTTTCCTTCCACCCTTGGAGCTTTTTCCATATTCGATCTTTTATTCCTCCAAACACTGCCTTCTTAGATCTTCCCACAACAGTTGGAATGCCTAAGTATTTTTCATGCCGGTCTACCATTTTTACCCCTAACAGATCACATATTTCTTGCTTTTTCTCTTCTGGGACCGATTTGCTGAAGACTGCCTCTGATTTGTCAAAATTTATTTTCTGACCCGATGTAACACCCCAATAATTCTCTCTTTAGAACCTGTATTAACCTGTAATAACCTGTAGTAACCTGTAAATACTTTTAATAACCTGTGAGAGAATTACTGGCGTGCTACCGCCACGTGTTCATACGTTAAGGCTAGTTTCAAATATCAGCAGCGGAAAACTAATTTAGTTTTAAAAGAAAATGTAAGTTTCAAAACTAATAATCAAAACCAAATTTAGACTTACAAGTTGGAACCATAACGACCCTTATTCAAAAACCCTGTAAAATAGGAAGCGAGTAGAGTTAGAGTCAAAATAACATCAATTTATGAAATGAAATAATCTAAATGATTAACCAACGCTCCACTCAAATCCCATCACCCTGATGCAAGTTCAGTTTATGCAAAAACCTGTGATTAGTCTGCTCCCCAATATTACAAGTGTAAGAATTGGATCATTACAAGGTCATTGAAGGCGAAGGCCATGACCAAGAGAAACACACAAAAGCACGTTATCAGCAACGCTGAGTACATACAAGCTACGAAACACAGTAAAGAGCCTTAGCATGATACTAACAAGCATTCCATACACTCAATATAATCATTGACTCGAACATATGATTCAATTGTTACTTATTACAAAGTTTTTATTTAAGTAGCATTGACCACTTTATTAATTGATTGGATTAAGCAATAGACCGGGTTGTCCCCCTGTGCTCCATTCCGGAACATTAAATAAGAAAACCCTATGCCTCCTTTCGGAAGACATTAATAAACATCCAATGGCAGACGGGCGCGACTCCGTGGCCATAGCTAGTATGAGATCTCATCTAACTCATTATAATTTTAAAAGAATTTAAAACAAGAGACTCGTAGATCAGACGGCCTCTGAAAAGTGCATGGCTAATTCCCCGTGAACCCCAACCCCTGTTTGTCATTACTCTAGATGTGCACAAATCCAGAGTTTTATTGCTCATTCTTCTTGCACTTTACGTGATTTACCAGTTTAAATTTAGTGATGACTCATATGCAAATAACACACCAATCATACATCAATCATTCAAGTTTCCAATTCAATTCTTAATTTATTAGTGACAAACAACATTTATTATTGAATTCTTTAACTACCTCGGTGTATAAACAACTTAAATGCATAAGGCACCTCATATCCACAATCACCTCATATCCACAATCTTGTCTTATAAGACTTTAACTCTTCCTTTACTCATTCCATTTCAATACAGATGAATAAGTAATTAAAATGATTCATTCCATATATACTCTTGTAGCTTTGCTTCTAAGCTCACTTTGCAAAGTATTGCATAAATAATGCTCATAAGGAAAAATCAATGCAAATTTCTCATACATGAATTAAACCAATCATCACATTTATCATCAATCAACTCATTACCAAACAATTTCAACCAATCCACAGTTTCTTAGCATGATTCTAGGTTTTTCCAAGTCCCTAAGCATGCTCCTAAATCAAGATTCCTCGTATTCTTGTACGTACCTTGAGTACACAAATTGATTGACCACTTTAAGGCTAGAAGTCACCTTCTACGAAGTCCTCTCCTAAACAAAACAACAATAGCTCAATTAATACCCAAGCAATATATTTTACAGCAATACCAAACTACTTTAAAATCCTTTAAATCATTGAAATAATGCTCTTAAATTATTCCCAATAGCCAAAGTTAGAAATTTAGTAATTCAACTATAAGTTTATATGTTAAAATCATGAAAATATAGCTTATAACATAAAATTCCAGCAACTTTAAAGTAAGGATTATAATATGGAAATTTAGTTTAAGAATATAAAACAACCTTATAAACATCTCTACTTGAAATAATCATTATATGGTAGGTTAGTATGTTAAAAACCTAAAAAAAATCCATCATAAAACCATGATTTAAAACCCTTAAAACCAAGATTAAAATCTAAAAATTTAATTTAATAGTAGAGTGTATGAATACAACAATCTAAACTTAAAATATATATTTAGAATTCAAGTAGTTTCATAAAAACTCAATTAAACCTTCAAAATTCAGTTAAACAACACTTTAAAATTTTCCTTTTTGCTAGAATTAAAAGCTTATATATTATTCTTAAAATTTCCTATATAAAAACAATAAAATACATACTTATTCATAAAATTACAGCAAGTTTAAAGCTTTATAAAAATCTAAAAATTTATTTTAAACATTAAACCTTCGTTAAAAATCAAAAATTGCCCGAAAACCATATTTAGAGGCTGAATTTGGCCACGAGAGGGTGGTGTTTACTACCAAAGGTAGTGAGTTTTAATTAAAACGTTGTTTACACACGAAAAACACTATTTTTTTTTTGCAATAATCAGACGAGTTACAGTCAAAACGTGATTAAAACGTGCTTAAGGAGAATTACGAACGGAATTCAAAAATTAATTACGAAAAAAAAAATTAGAACTTTCTATTGAATTAAACATCATCATAGTCATAGCAAAATCACAACAAAATCATGCTCAAATTGAATAACTTTAGCAATACGCTTTTAAGCCCTAAAACCATGAAAATCAAGTTTTAAACCCTAATTTCACAAATTATGTAAATCTGAAAATTTAAACTACATATCATAATTTATAAACTTGATAATTTCTCATGTTTTTAAAGAATTTAAACATTATTAAAGTAATTAAAACTAACAATATAAATTAAAATAACAATCTTTAATAATAATAAGGAAGAAGGAGAAACAAGGAAGGAAGGAGGAAGAAAGAAAACCGGCGGCCTGGTGGTTGGGCGACGGTGGTCAGGCAGCAGCAAGGGTCCTGGGCGGTGCTGTGGTGGTGGTTACGGTGGCAACAAGCTTCGACCCTTTTTTTTTTGTTTGATCGTAAATGCAGTAGGAGGGGGAAAGCTTGGGGTTTTTTTTTTTTTTTTTTTTTTTTTTTTTAAAACGTGAGATTAGAAGGGGAAATAAGGGTTTTAGTTTTTCTAGTTCTAATAAAACTAAGACTAAGGTTTGGGCTTAAAGTAAGTGGGTTTTAGGTAAAAGAATGGGTTTAGTAATTTATGGGTTGGGCTTGCATATTAATGCATGATTACAATATGGGTAGGGAAATAATTTAATGAAATAGTTTTATTAGTTTTATAAACATTAAATTTATTTGCTTAAATCATAGTAAAATAATTTATGTAAATAAATAACTATAATCAAATATTCACAAAAATATGTTAAAATATAATTTTAAATTTCACAAAATTACGGGGAAATTACACCCGAGGCCTTTTCATATACCTGCAATATTCTAGCAATCTCCATGCACTCCTCTCTATTAGCTCTTGCAAAAAGTATGCTGTCGTCAGCAAATAGTAAGTGAGAAATGCTAGGCGCATTCTTGCAAATCCTCACTCCATGGATAGAGCCATTATCTACAGCTTTAGATAAAAGACAAGAAAAAGCGTCAGCCACCATGAGAAATAAATAGGGGGACATCGGATCACCTTGTCGAAGACCACGTTGAGGAGTCACATCTCCAAATATTACTCCATTTGCCTTAAATTGAAACGAGTAACAAGACAAACATTCTACAATTCTTCTAACCCAGGAGACACAAAATCCCATTTTTAACATTATCTTTTCCACAAAACCCCATTCGACCCGATCATAAGCCTTCATCATGTCTAATTTAAGAGCCACCGCACTTTTCCTCCTTCCCCCTTTTCTTTTCATAGCATGGAAGATTTCAAAGGCTAGAAGGCATTATCTGTAATTAACCGACCCGGGACAAAAGCGCTTTGTTGGGGGGATATCATACTTTGCAAGAGGGGTTTTAATCGATTAGCAAGCATTTTGGAAATTATTTTATAAAGCACATCACAAAGACTAATTGGTCTAAACTCGGTAATCTTATGGGGATCATGACATTTGGGAATAAGAACAATACAAGCTTTACTTGTATCCGAAATGTCCACATAACCATGCCACCAATCAGTAATATAATTAACAATATCAGTATGAATAATGTGCCAAAATTTTTGATAAAAAAGAGCATGCATACCATCAAGTCCCGGTGCTTTGTTCGGATGCATCTCGAAGAGGGCCATACGAATTTCCTCTTCACTGGGGTCCTTTCGAAGCTGTGCATTCATATCTTCAGAGACTTTGCAATTTATACCACTCAGCGCCTCAACAATATTTTCAACTCCTTCTGAAGTGAAAAGCCCAGTAAAATAATTTGTGATTACACCCTCAATATCCTTTCTGCCATGCACACGAACACCATCTGCATTCTCAATTCCGGTAATGTTGTTCTTGCTTTTTCTCATGCTTGCTTTGTGGTGAAAGTAGGATGTGTTCCTATCACCATCTTTCAGTTCATTAACCCGGGCTCTCGCGTGCCAGTAAAACTCCTCAAACAAGTGAAGGTTATCAAGTTCCTCCGACACCGTTCTACACCTCTCCAAGGCCACACCGCCCATCACCCCTCTTTGCAAATTGACAAGCTTCTCTTCTGCCTCCTTAATTTTCTTCTTCACATTGCCAAAAGTTATGGATGTCCAGCTTTCCAGTTTAGCAGCACACATAGCGACTTTGAAAGGGGTATGGCCCTCGGTTGTGAGCGTCCACCCTTCTTTGACCACCGCCTCACATTCCGGGCTCGAGAGCCAATATGCCTCGAACCTAAAAAGCTTTTTTTGTCTCCTATTTTCTTCACGAACTCCAGCTCTCAATATTAAAGGGGCATGATCAGACCGTCGAGTATTTAACGGTAAATCGGTGATCAGCCCAAGGAAAAAGGCCACACCAATCCTCATTTGCTAGAAATCTCTCAAGCCTCTCCTGGACCAAAGTTTCAGGTGTTAACCCTCTCTGCCACGTGAAATGTCCTCATTTGTAGCCCAGGTCCTTCTCGCAAGTAGCATCAATGGATCTAATTAATCAATATATAGATTTTGGTAAAACTTGTTTTTGAAGTTTATTTTTAAATTTTAAAAATTAGATTTTTTTTTTAATCGACAATTTTATATTGACAATGGAAATATAGTACAGGTAAGGAAAAACACGCCACGGTAAGGAAACATGCGCCACTTAATGTATGGGTTTTTCCGAATTTCAAGATCACCTTTTAATATTTCTTACCAATTTATTATTAGGTATCAAAGATTGATGTGTAAGACTTTTTTGAGTTCATATGATTGTCAAACTATATAACCTTTTTCAAGATCTAAAACAAACAATCCAAAAAGACCTACCAACACTAATATTTTTGTAAGATACTCCTTGTACACTTCTTAACTAACAGAAATGAATTATAAAAGAACAAAGGAAAATTGCTTTACAGATTTCTCCATATATGATGATATAGGATTATGCACTTCATAACATCAAAATTAAATTATTTTTCTAATAGCACTCTAAAGTTTTATAATTTTTTAAACCAACAACACCCTATAGTTGATAAGTATTAAAGACACATATAGCAGTATGTATATTATTCAAAAATCTAAAATCTAACTAAATAATCAGACTTAATTTTGCAACTGATTACTCTTAACGACTATATACAGTGAATATATTGGTAGATTATTCAAAGTAACATATTGTCTAATTGCTCACGTCCTCAAAATTTTAAAAACAAAATAATTATATCACATTAATTTAGACAAGGTTCATATGTTAATCAAACAAAGTTTAAATGCATAAGAATAAGTAAAGAAATGAAAAAGTAATAAATAAACCAATCTAATTTTTGTACCTGTGAGATATTGTATTTGCTGATAGAGTGACGATTAGACACAGAAACCATGGTTGAATTTGCCCCTGCATCCTTGCGATCAAATTCAAAGATAGAGTTACAATAAGTAAAAATTACCAAAAGAAAACGCTACATTATATGTATATATATATACATATATGTATGTATATATATGATATATGTATATATATAGAAATGGGATCATGTGAGAACCCATGGCTTAGGTGAGAACCAAGTTAAAATGAGAGCTCATCTAACACCATTCATTTTTATTAGATGAATGGTTCAGATTTATTGGCAACAATAGTGGGAATTCATGTGGGCCACCTTGAACAAGTGTAATGATTGTTTGTAATTTTTTTTTTAATTTTTGTGCATTGGAAGACGTTGTATTCCATTGGAATTCATTCCGTCAGTCCATTGGAAGACGTTATCTTCCATTGGAATACATTCAGCCATTCTTTCTGAAAATATTATCAAAGGTTAGAGCTCATTTTTTTTTTCTGTAACTATATTAAGCATGGATTTTTCTGTTGAATGTGGTACGTCTAATGTTGTTCATGTTTGTACCCCTGGTGGAACGAAGATATAGATTCCATGTTGTGATAGTGAAATTAGACCAACTATAGGTATGAAATTTTCAAAACTTGATGAAGGTTTGCGTTTTTATGAGTCCTACGTAGCTGTTGTAGGATTTATTACTAGAAATTCGACGATCAAAAAAAGAAAAAAATGGTATTATTTCTTTTCAAATTATTGTATGTAATAAAGCTGGGTTTAAAGAAAAATGAAATAATGTGGTGACAAAGAAAGTTGATAGTATCGGGGAAGAAGATGATCATTTTGTAGAGGATATGAATGTTGAAGAAGTGGTTGTTGGTCAAGATAAAGAAGACTATCATTGTCAAGAAGCGAATACTCCTATGGTTAAAAGAAGATTGTCTACTCGAGTTGGTTGTAAGGCAAAGATGATTTTAAAGTATTGCGAAGATGGAGGTTACATTGTTTCTAATTTTGAAGAAGGGCATACTCATCCTATGTATTCATCCGAGAACTCTCATTTTCAGAAGTCCAAAAGAAAGATGACAATGTTGCATAAGAAAATGATTATTGATAATTCAAAGGTATTTGAATATGGTTTTGTTTAAAATGATTAAACTTTTAAATATGAAGTAACAATTGTGTACATATATGAAACATTAGTACTGTAATATGAAATATATATTGTTTTGGATGGAGCAATTATTGGTAATGTATGTACTCAAGTAGGTGTAAGTACAATTGTATGGAACAATGGTTTTGATAAGTGGAACAATAGTACTTATAATTGAAACATGGTTGGAGCGAGTGGTTGTAAAGGTTTAATATATACAATTATTATAACAAATGTAACAATAGGGTAATGCGGAGGAACAGTAGGTCAGATATATGGAACAATAAAGTACATTTTTGTTTCATATCACTTTCATATCATCGAATTTCGCACTATACATCAAGAATAACGTGTATTGTTATTTGTAATTAAATGTGTACCTTTTTGTTTTTTGTACACATCTATATTTAGAATCTTTTTTGCCTTTTTTTTCATAAAATTAAATATGCACTGTTAGATCTGTTTCCATATATAGCATGGTCCTCAAACAGTCTAGTGTTTTTACATTCTTTTTCATACTTTTTTTGTTGCTACACAGGTGAATATTGGTCCTGTCAAGACATACATAATGGTGAAGGAATATCTTGGTGGGTATGAGAATATAGGTGCCAGTAAGAATGACTTCAAGAATTTTCATAGAGATTTGAAGGCGTATATTGAAGGATCGGACGCCCAGATGTTTGTTGACAATTTTAAGAGGAAAAAGTTGATGTGGTCGGCTTATTTTTTTGATTACGAAATGGATGAAGACGACTGTCTATGTAGAGCTTTATGGCAGATCCTATTTGCCGGAGAAATTATGCCGTATTTGGTGATATGATCTCGTTTGATACAACCTACCAAAGCAACAGGTATCATAGTGTTATTTTTAAAGTTTTTTGAATTTTTTTTTTGGTGTTACAATTTGATGTAACATTTGTTTAAATTTACGGAACATTGGAATAAAATTACGAAACAGTAGACATAAATATCGGAATAGTAATTTCAGCGTATGTTTTATGTTTTTCAGATATAATATGGTGTTTGTTCCATTCACGGGAGTCGATCACCACAAGAAATGTGTCACTTTTGCTGCTGGTTTTATTGCAAAGGAAGATGTTGCTTCATTCCAATGACTATTTAGAACATTGCTTAAGGAAATGGGCAGTAGGGAGCCCAATTGTTTAATTACGGATCAAGATCCAGCTATGAAAATTGCTGTAAATTCTGTTTTCCGGCAATGTGAGCACATGTATTGGATATTGTACTGCAATTTATAATGACTCATTTGTGAATACTATTGTTTCAAAATATGTGTCTGATGTTTCATATTAGTTTATTGATTTTTCCAGCTGTTGTTATGATGTTAAATATTATTATTCTGAATTAAAAAAAAAAATTCCTGTTCCTAAAGACTGTTTTATTGTTTCAAATTTATGTTTTGATGTTCCATTAGGTTAATCAATTGTTACGAGAATTTGCCTAATTATTCCAATTATTTATTTTATTATTTCAAATCTTCAAGATAATGTTCCATTAGGTTAATCAATTGTTACGAGAATTTGCCTAAATATTCCAATTATTTATTTTATTATTTCAAATCTTCAAGATAATGTTCCGAAATTTTACTATAATGTTTCAGTATTAAAAGCTAATGTTCCTAAATAGTGGTCTAATGTCCCATAATTAATGTCCTTCAGATTTTGTATGTGGCACATAATGAAATAGCTGCCTGATAAAGTTGGAAGGAATATCATTCAGGAAACTGAATTTTTGAAGGAACTCAGTAAGTGTGTTTGGAATTTAGAAATTGAGGCACCTGAATTTGAAGAGAAGTGGAACAATGTTCTTGTTGAGTTTAAATTACAAGACCATGATTGGTTGAATTTGATGTTTGAGATGAGATCTATGTGGATTCCAGCGTATCTTAGAGATGTGTTTATGGGTGGTATTATGAGAACTACCTCAAGGTTAGAGAGTGAGAATAATTTTTTTACATCCTTTGTAAATCCTCACGTGTCTCTTGTGGAGTTTTTCATGAGGTATGAAACTGCGTTGGATGCACAGAGACATAGTCAGACAGAGAATGACAATGAATCACAGGAGAAATTCCCTCACTGTAAGACAAAATTGTTGATTGAGAGGCATGGTTCTGAGGTATACACCGTTTCTTTATTTTATGAATTTCAGGATGAAGTTCATAGTGCTTTTTATTCTTGTGGTGTAGACGAATTGAGGAAGGAAGATGGTATTGATGTAGCAATTGTTACTGAGGCAAATAGGAGAAGGAAATTTAAAGTTTTGTTTGAGTGCTTTAATTATGACACTACCTGCTCTTGTAAGAAGTTTTATAGGATAAGAATCCCATGCAGACATATGATATGGATGTGGAAGGCAAAGAATTCAAAAAGCATTCCAAAGCAATATATCTTAGATCGGTGGACAATAACTGCTACTCAGAAACCAGTGTTAGATATAAGTTGTTTAGACACCGATGATGATAGGAGGGTGGTGTTGAATGAAATGTGGTTGGAGATATTTTCTTGTGTGAGTTGGGTTAAAGGTCATGAGGAGGACTTTATTAAGAATATTTGAGAGTTCAAGAATAAAATTGAAGCGACAAAAAATGTGAGTGTAGTTGATACTCAGAATGTAAGGTCTAGTGAACATGATATTGAGATGTTAATAGGATGTAGCATTCCTGATGAAATACTTGTTCAGCCTCCTAAAGTGTCGAAGAATAAAGGTACAGGTGTTCATGATGGTTGTGGAACTAGTGGGTCTAAAAGATTAAAGGGCGCCAAAGAAATAGTAGTTGAACAATCTAAAAAGAAAACGAAGAGGAAATGCAGTGGCTGTGGCGCGCTAGCATATCATGATATTCGGAATTGTCCTCACAAAATATTATGATTTGTACAGTTGTTGTTCCTTCTTATGGGAATGTTTTACTCATTTTTATGTTTGTTGTAATGGAACAATAAGTTACATTTGGGAAACATCAGTTTTAATATATGTTATAACTGTTGTTGTAAACGGAACATTACAATTAATGTTTCGGAAACGTCAGTTTTAATACAATGTTTTATATTGCATTTTTGAAAAATTAATATACTTAGTTACATGGAACAATAAGTTACATTTGGGAAACATCACTTTTAACATATGTTACAACTGTTGTTGTTAACGGAACATTGCAGCTAATGTTTTGGAAACATCAGTTAAAAGAAACATTAGTTCTAATATATGTAACATTGTTTCATTTAAGGGAACAGTAGGAACATTATCTGAAACATTAAGATTCGTTTTAGCATGTTTTATATAAAAAAGTTACGGAGTATATAATATTTTTCAGAAAATGTGCAAATTGATTTTATGTGGCATCGTGTATTGATTTGACTAGTCATCTTTTTTTTAAAGTACTGGCGTGGTATGGTTGCTTTGGGAACATATTTATTATAAAGTTTAAAAGAAACCTTACAGTTGTCAGTTTCATGTTGAAACGTGTTAAGTTGTGACAATGCATGGTTTAAATTTATTTCTTACCGTTGACAATGCATGTTGTGACATTGTTTCATATTACCTAACCGTTGTTTCATTCTATATATTTATAGTTTCATTTAATACTTCTAATGTTTCATATTAATAGTTCACAATTGACAATAATGTATGCACACCTTTACATTCGAAGAAGTAACTGTTCAGATATTAATAGAAAATCATTCTAGAAACATAAAAAGATTAAAAGCTAAATTATCCAGAACATGCATAAAAATTATATATCTTACAACTAATGTGGAAACATTCATAAACATTGTTTACTAATTAACATGACGAAGCTCCTCTAATGCCCAGGTCTTTGATTTGGCTATAATTTCATCTTGTAGTTCGTTTGCAGGGCTTGTCAATATTTTCCCACAATACTCAATCCTCAGCTTCTTCATTATATCAGGCTGAAATATATTAACAATTCAAAATAAATACCGGAACAATGAACCATAAATTATGTATAAATTAATATAACAATTACACAAAAACTTACATCTTTTGGGTCGAATCCAATATCCCAACATTCATCTAGCTGCCCCATGTAAGTTTCCATGTGTTTTAGAGCGTATACACCGCAATCATTATGATTGTCATTATTTTTCCATCTCATTTCCTTCAGAGTGGTATTGAATCTGGACACTGCCCGTCCATTCCCAACTTTATTTTCATTTAGTAATTTAGCAAATGCCTTGATCTGTATAATATGAAACAATTAGATGTACCAAGGAACAATGAAACAACAAATATATACAATGAAACAATTGATATATAATATGAAACAACGTAAATAAAAAATGAAACATCAGATGTATGAAACATAAGCTATCTAACATATATAAATATGAAATAACATATATATTTACAATGAAACATATTCTATTTAATATGAAACAGCAGTTATGAAAAAATGGAACATCAGATGTATTATTTGAAACAATATATACATATATTGAAACAAATTGTATATAATAAGAAATATCAGAAATCAACAATGAAACACCAGATATACTAATTTAAACAACAAAAATTAAAAATGAAATACTAGTGATGTTTAGTGAAACAGTGTTATATTTTTACCATGGTAGCTTGGAAATTCCCGTACTTTGCATCCATTTGAACACCTTCTTCTAGTAGTCTGTTGTCTATAATTTGCATTTGCTTGCGTGAAAAATTGAAACAGAACAGATAATAGTGTTCAAATGCTGGGACGGGAAAGAAAACCTATAATGAAACAATAAGTAAGTTATATGTAACATTAAGTATGTCTTATTGAGCAAATATATATGCTAAGAATCAGTACTAGTTTAGTATCTAACCAAATCTACTTTGTCAAAAGTAGTTATTTTAGAATGCTTCATCTCGTCCATCATCCTGCTCTTGAAAGCGTTGTATCTCTCTGCAAACTTGGTATTTGGCGTAAAGTACTTGTTACCGCACAACATATTCTGTTTTTTTCCAGGTAATTAATCATTGTTATAGTTGTTAGTGTATCAAAAATATTATAGTTGTTTCTAGTGGAACATTTATTATCAATTGAAACAATGGAATATGTTAATGAAACAGATAATCGATGAAACATTAGAGCTTAATAGTGAAACAGTTAAATAATTTTAGACATAATTACCCAACATTCAGAGGTGCAGAAAAAACAGTTGATAGCGCCTGGTTGCCTTCTTTTGTTTTCCATGTTAAGGATGTGGCCCCAGGAGTCTATTATATTGTTGAGCACATATTTGTCACCTTGTAGTCCTAAAAAGTCTTCCCTAGTGATGAAGTTAAGCCCGTCATTGTACAGCTGCTCACTGAAATTGATGGGACAGTAAAACAATTGAATGAAACAATATGTATATAATATGAAACAATATAATATTGTATATAATATGAAACAATATGTATATAATATGAAACAAAGCATTCCAGAAAATTCTCACGATTTTGGGCCTGCACAAAAGGCATATTCAGCGACTGTTCTTTGTAGGGCATCAATTTTTGCTGAAATTTTTTCATTCTGCACCATGAATGGGGATCGAAGGTGCACAGGAAGATTTTGTGTGATTCTTTTTTCTCTTTGCATACCAGTCACTGGCTCCTCACAATGTTCACTTGTTATCTTATGAACGATGGATTCAGTGAGTGACTCCAACTGCTGATCCGTTGAAGATTCTTCCTGCTCTGGTGACTTTCCTTTTGCCAGGGGTGTTGGAGGCAACGCCTGTGAACCTACAAACAAATTATAGTTTGGCATGGATTCCGTTAATGGAACAATGTGTAGAACGGATTCATTGTGGGGTGTAGCTTGTGGGGTTTCAACATGCTGGGGGGGTTCATCTTGCTGTTTGTCTTTGGCCTAAAAATTTGCCCATGCTTTGTTCATTACATCACTGAGCTCAGATAAAAAAGCTGGCTCATGAAATAAGTTCTCATCTTGAGATAGAAAACCCGGGGTCTTGATTCCTTGTTGACTCATAGTGGGCTGTACTGATGTGTACTTGCCCCATACATTTCTAATGAGCTCCTTCATCTCATCTGGGATCTCCACCTCTTCAATCAATTTGTATGCCTTGTCAATCAGTGCATACATTGACTGGACATGGCCAGCAAGTTCCTTGGCTATGTTGTTGAATTCATCAAGTATAAATCCTTATAACAAACCAACAACATTTCAAATTCTAGTATTATATACAATGAAACACGTGATATAAAATATGAAACAGCAGGTAGCCAATATGAAACATCAGATTTATTATATGAAACAGCGTACACCTAACATGAAACATCCGAAATATATTACGAAACAATAATGTCATGAACAATGAAACAATAGGCATATAAAATGAAACAACATACATCTGAAATATATTGTGAAATAGTGTACACCTAAATTGAAACTGCTGAAATATATTATGAAACAACATACATCTGAAATCACATTTAATATTTATATATTGAAACAGAAATTATAAAATGAAACATCATATTTTAAATATGTAACAACATATATTCAACATGAAACAACAATAAATGAGAAGTGAGATTTATTACATGAAACAGCAGGCATCCTATATGAAACATCAGATTTATTATACGAAGCAATAGGTATACAAAATGAAACAATAGGAATATAAAATGAAACAACATACATCTGAAATCATATACATTATTTGAAACAACAGTAATATGTAATGAAACAAATGATATTTAATATGAAACAGCATACCTTAACAATGAAACATCAGGTATATTAATTGGTTTTTTTTTTTTTTATTTTTTATTTTTTTTTTAACCTTAACATCTTCGGGAGCAGAGGACGACGAAGCCCTTTATTTTCTTCACCAGAATTTGTGTTTATGGCAGTTAACCTGTCGAGGACTTTACCCTGTCCAAATCCTCTCTTCATCTCGACCTTCATCCGTTCTTGTATCATCTGCTTGTTCCAAACGGATATTAGGGGTATTGTCCATCGTGGTTGAGCTGTGCCACGCTTCATTCTATCAAAGTACATAACCTATTTAAGAAGGTATGGAAAAATGTTGGTTTAAAATATGAAACAATAGGCATTTAAAATGAAACAACATACATCTGAAATATATTGTGAAACAGAACATACATTTGAAATCACATATAATATTCAAATATTTAAACAGAAATTATAAAATGAAACACCATATGTTAAATATGTAACAACATATATTCAAAATGAAACAACAATTAATGAGGAGTAAGATTTATTACATGAAACAGCAGGCGTCCAATATGAAACATTAGATTTATTATACGAAGCAATATGCATATAAAATGAAAAAATAGGCATATAAAATGAAACAACATACATCTGAAATCATATACATTATTTGGATAATGGACCATAAATTATATATAATATACTATATGAAACAACAGTAATATGTAATGAAACAAATGATATATAATATGAAACAGCATACGTAAACAATGAAACATCAGGTATATGTATGTTGTTTCATTTTATATGCCTATTGTTTCATATTTTAAACCAACATTTTTCCATATCATCTTAAACAGGTTATGTA